CTCAGGAGAAGCTCTGAGCTGACACACMAGCATTTTTCAGTTTCCCTCCTTTTACTTCACTGAGTGAGTATCATGTAAAGATGACAAGCTGTTTCAGTTTCAGCAGACACTCACTCTCTGCCCAGTAATGCTTCCCAATATCTAACTCTTGTTCTATCCATGGTGACACCAAAATAACTGTGGTGCCAGCACAGACTGAAAGGGAATCTGATTCATCTAGCTCTGGCAGAGAGCTCCCTCCCTGCCATCATCGTGAATCAGGCTCAGTAAATTGCATCCCTCTGGCTTCTCTCRGTCTTCCCTCCCTCCTGACTCATCTTCTTCCCTCCAGAGTTTATATTTTTAGTTATTAGTTTCACACKTCCATTTCCAATGGGCGCCCACAGGCCTTTTGGTGACTTATGAGCACAAGTGGAAAAGAAACATCGCTGTGACAAAGCCCCACAGCCAACAAGGCTTTCTTTGTCCATGCCCTGCCCAATGAAGCATTTGCTGTTCTCCATCAAGCTGCAAGAAACGGGGATGGTATGTACCCGACCAAGGCACAGCACACTGTGTTTGCCACGGCTTCTGATTCATGTGAGGAACGCACATACCCCAGCAGCAAACCAAAACCAGCTGAAAAATGTTGATTTTTCTTTACTGCTGCATTTCAAAACTTCAGGAAGGAAGGAGAATCAAGAGACMTCTCAAGCCTGCTTTGGCAGTGCGCTCCTCCCCAGGCACCAAAGCATGGTGTGTTTCACCCAGCAGTTTGTGCACCATCAGTTTCTGTCCAAGGCACTCTGGCTGCTGCAGCCTCCTTTCCAGGGCCCTTGTAACTGTGWGAGAGGTGGAGGAATGTGAAGCAAAGGCCAGGGAGAGCCCCCATGAGCCAGGGCCTCCAGGGCTGCTGCTCCTCGCTCTGGCGAGCGCTGCCACCATCGGAGATAAATGACACTCGCAGTTCAACGTGGGCTGCCAAGACAAACACTCGAACAAACAGCCGGGCTGGGCTCGACCGTGCAGAGGAGTGGCTGCAAAATTCTTCTGGACCCAAGCTTGYAGCACGCATGGTCACCCAGTGCCAGTGCAGACAGACCTTGTGCTTTCCTTCTTTCCTTGTTTCCGAGTTTCCCTTGCCCCAGCCACAATCCCATCCCCAGCACGTCTGTCCTGTAGTGTCTGTAGGGTGACCTGGATGTGTGGGGTGCTCAGGGCTGCATTACTGAGCACTGGGATATCCMCATGGGATTTTGGCTGGCAGTCAGGTTGCAGGAGGGTTATTTTCTCCCTGGTCTAACTGAGAGCTCACATTTGGGGATGATGTGACAGTGCAGGAGGTGCAGAGAGGGGATAATAAAAAGCTGCCATGGCCAGTGTTGCTGTGAAAGAAAAGGCACATGGAGCTGGTATTCTGCAAGAGGGAACTTCCCAAATCCTGGCCAGCCCAYGCTAGAGCCTGTTCACCCTAGGGAATGAAGGCCACCAAACTTAAATGCCAAAGGAATAGCCATCTCTCAAGGATACACCCCTGCCTTTATGGCAACACAATTACAATTACATAACTGTTTTCAGTCATGAGACAAAGACAAGTTTGCAAATGCTCACAAATCATAACTTTTCTAGCTTTAACCCTTTGCATTTACTAGCAGTAAATACTACAACTAAATAGGAGTGTCTATGTACCAAAAGTTGCTGGCATAACATTTTGTGTAGAAGTATCTTCAAGGCCAGAAGAGTTGCACAAGTGTAACCTTTCAATCCTGTTTCTGCACTAGTTTGTTCCCCTACTAACCCAGCCAGCCCGTGTGCCTGCACAGAGCCTCGTTAAAGGAATAGCAGCCAGGTCTGAGGTTGCAGTAATTAGTCCTGGCTGGGCTTCCAGTTTTCTTTAGCACAGTATTACCATTAGATTTCTATCAGTGTGTCTTCCTCTGTCAGAACAGGCTGTACAAAAAGAAAATAAATCTATCTAGTTGTTAGAATTGCTGTGGGAGAAACACTCATAAATTCATGCTAGCAAATTTATTGTAAATTTCTCAGTTGCATTACACATACACTTGTGTAAATGTTTTACATGCATTTAATGCTGTATTTATAGAATACATAACTGACAAGAAACAAAACTGTTTCATCTGTCCTTCACRGCCATAGGGSTCTCCATTTCACCTCAATACAAACTTTTTAAARTKAAACACACAGCTRGATGGACCAGCAGACTAGCCCAGTGTGAGAASATGATGCACACCTATGGGCCAAGAAAAGTAAAGGAATCAGCCCTACCACCTTCACCCTTTCCTTAGGGCACAACAGTGAGACACACCGCATGATCTGGGAAGTTTTCCAGGCTTCTATTTTTTTTCCTTAAGTTTGTGACACTGAAGCAGAATGCTTTAAGCTACTGTGGCATCAGACGTGTTTCAAGAGAGGTGCTGTGAATGTGGATGCAGATCAGGTTGTCCACACTTTTGCTTTCAAGGTCTGGCAGCACCAAAGCAGTGCTTAGCTTGGACTGATGGTAAATCCCTTTGGGACTCAGCAGTAGCATGAAAGGGGGAAATCGATCCCCAAATCCTGAGGGACCTGGAAGGCTGCTGCCATGGGCTGGAAGGGGAAATGTGATACCCCAGTGAAGCTAATGCCATATAGAGTGGCTTGTCACAGATATGTCTATTTCCTCTGACACTGTTCAAAAAATCACCATTCAACAGTATTCAACAAAATACCAACCCCAAATTTAACACAAGTGTGGCATGGGAAAGACTCAGCACCCCTTCTGTGGCACCCATTTTCCCAGCGGGATCAACATTCTSTCAGGACAGGGACAAGAGATGGGGACTTTTCTTTTGACTCCTATTGCTGACTTTGAGCCAATAAAATCAATGTGGGATTTCACCACAGAGCCAGGGGGATTTTTTATATGCAACTTTGAGAACATTGCTGCCTTCTCAGTGCCTCACCCTGAAAATGATAACCCTTGWCTTTGTTGGGCTCCTGTACTTAATTAATGGCTGAAAAGCATCTGGAGAAGGTTGAAGCAGGCAAATTATGCAACTCAACTCCAAGTCTGATGATCRGTATCACCGTTCCCAGACTACAATCTCTCTTTGATATTGGAAACAACGGCGAGGAAGATGCTKACGATGGTGACATTGGTTTTGGCTCTGGCTCCTGGAACATACAGTCATCTCATATCTTGTGATCCCAATTACACCAGCAGATTTACTCTGGATTCACAGCAGTGTAACTGGAAAAGGTAGCTGGACCACAAAAAGCTTTAGTAAATGGGGATTRCAGCTATGATTGGAAAAACAACAAGGATTACAACAGAAGGCACGGGAAACGATGAAGAAGGTGGGTCAGCATGGATCTGAAAGAGCTGGAGCTGAGGCTSTTGTGAAGAACAGAGCAATTGGTGATCTGGCCCAACAGTCAGCATTTCTGAGCCTCCAGGTGCTCTTCTCTGTATTGCACAAAAGGGCCAACAGTGTGATCAGAAGAGACAAGTAGAGATGGGCTTCAGTCCCTGCACACATGAGGAGGAGCAGCAGAAAATACAAGATTTGGAAAGAGCCACACAGATCSTGCATTATCAGAAAGACAACAGTGGCATTAAAGGGAGGGGGAAGAAAACAGCCTTGGAAAGCTTTGCCTTGAATGATCATGAAATTATGTCAAGCAACCTATAAACAGTCTCAGGGAAAAGCTAAATAACAAAACTTTTTTTTTAGTCTCCCTCCCTTCCCTTTGTGTCCTCTCTTAATCCAGAGTGACCTTAGCAAAACAGCACAAGAATAGCTGAGCTCCACCTAGTTTGGACTGAGGATAACTCACCTCCTCCCTATGCTATTTCCAATTCTTTGCTTGACTTGTGTCATGTTTGTCTYTTGCACTCTGATCTCTGGTATGTGCCACAGCAGGAGAAGTAGGGAAAGGAGAGACGTTAACCTTTCCCTTGAGAAGCAGAATATGACTGGTATGAGGAGGAACACTGCCTTTGCTTGGACACTGAATTAGGCAAGCAGAGAAAAAACTGCCATTTGCATGTCACTATCCCGATTTCCAAAGGCGAAAAATTAATAAAGGAGAACATGCTTCTCACCACCATCAATCCTGCAATTAAACTGAACTTTAGCAAAATATTTGCTGGGTTATGTAATAGAGGCGGATTACAACAGGCTGCCACATGGCTGGAAACTGCAGTTTTAACCCCTGGACAAACTGCCTTGTGGTAGGTAAAAAGTGACATCATGGGGCTGTAAGAACAGCCAAGCTCAGACAAACCTTTAAAATACAGATGGTCAGATGGTCCATGTGATAGAATAACTCCAAATATCCAAGGCTGCTTTTCTTCCTGATTTTCTTGGCTATCCATGGCCTTTCTGGTTCTCGCACCTCTCCCTCTGAGCAGTCTCAGARCAGTTCCTCCCATTCCCCAGGTGCCTCTTTCTCAGGCTTCCCACCCTTTATGGCTGCTGAAGATGCTCTGGAGATGTTCCCTTGCACCAAGGARTTCATGGTGACCTCTCCATGTCCCAGCCACCCCTCCTGTCACCTTAGTCGAGTGATCTGTGCCAGGACCAGGAGCAAAGGTGTGCAGTTCAGGGCACTGCAGAAACCAAGGGACAAACCCTGCTGTGACAATGACCCCAAGCCTGTGTGTCTTCCCTGAAGTTCTGGGCTGGATAAACCTGCCACAGGCAGAGGCCACCTTCCTGTCTCATCACAGCTTCAACCCAGGCTCTAAAGCCTCTCTAYGTCTGACCAGCCATTATTTGGGCAGCACTTAAAAACTGGAGAAGCTGAGCATTGTAGCTAATTAGCTGAGCCAGAAWGGCACAAAGGATGTTTGCAACAGAAGAGAAAACAAACAAAGGCTTGGCGAGCACTCAAAGGCGAGGCAGGCTGGCTGCAATTTGCCGCTCAACAATCASAGAGGCTCCTCGGGAGGGCTCACAGAGTCAGGGGAGACGGGAGCACCCTTCGGGGACACCTCGCTATAAAGGGCTCACATGATGCGGGGCGGGGTTTGGAGCCAAAGCCGCCCCGCTGGCCCCACCCTGGGATTTGGGCTCTKGAGTGACCCAAAGCACCTCATCCATCACGGCAGGGCCAGCTGTCAGCCGGGAGAGCGGCACCGAAACCTGCCCACGGCTTCCAGGTAGGAGCTCTCTTCTTGCAGCACTTCTCGTGGCTTTGCCTCGCTGCTCAGGTGCGGGAGGAGAGGACCTGGTGCCCTCCAGAAGATGCAGCTTCTTCCTTCTCTGAGCACACACCACACCAACACTTTCTACCTGTGTCTTTCTTCCCTCTCTTTTTCCCAGCTGCTGGGGTTTGAAAATCTTGTTGGGTGTGTGCTAAGATGATAAACTGGTTTTATTTCCTTTCTGCCTGGTATTGCTGTCATGACAAGCGGAGAAAAAGTAGGATACCCCCTATCCTGACAGAGCAASCAGCATGCTGCTGGGGCACGTACATTTGCTTTCTTTACAAATGTCTGCAAAATAGAGAGTGGCTAGGAGCTTCTTGAAATGGTTATGCATCATTGAACTTAACTGGCACCCACCCAGGCCCCCAGATGGGAGAAGAGGAGCTTTTTCTAAGCCCTTCCCACATTCTTGTGCAAATAGAAAGGATGAATGATCACCATCCCCAGTGCCAGACAGTTTTCTGGGCCAAACTCACACACAAGCGTAGGAAAGCCAAGGGGAACTGAAACTGGTGAAGCTCTCCCTTCCTTCCGCTTCTTGCAGTGACTGTATTTCATATGTTCAAATCCTTCTGGGATTGCTTAGACTGACTTTGCGTAATTATTTTCATCCTTGGATTAAACAGGCCAAATATGTAAGCTGGATCTCAGCTTGCTGAGATCTTACTTTACACCATATTTTGTCCCTCTGGCATATATATTACACAGCAGCAGATTGCATTTAAATAGTTTTTTTTCAGAATAAAAGTCTGTCTTTGCTTGAGGGTGTCAATTTTCTCGTAATTCTTGCTGCTCTGTCTTGTGTGGATACTTCAAAAGATTGTGGAAAGGTCCTAAACCAGGCATGTACCCATCCTGGCTTTCAGTACACTCAGTCTGGCTGACACCTCCCCAGATYTGGAGCATGCACAGATTTCTCAGCCTAGAGGTTAGGGGAAGGTGTGACTTATTGCAAAAGCCTGCAACTACACCCTTATTTCTACCAACTGTGCTTGTCCTTCATTGCTTTTGATCACTGATGAGATGGGCAAACTYGTGGATGTGCCTAAACCTGAGGACTGTCCTTGTTTGCAGAATGAACAGACAATGGTGCTTTTTGAAATTAATGGCAAAAGGGTACAAAAGAGTACAAAAGGGTACGGAACTCCCCAGGCAGGAGCAGTGGCTTTGAAATCAGCTTTCAGTTGCCTTGTGAGATGTCAGCAGATACTGGAGATACTGGAGAAAGGGTGGCCGCTTAGTGTGTCATGCTATGGGAAGTCCTGAGTCAATCCTGTGCAGAGAGACAAAGTATTTATGTGTTATGTGTTCCATCTGTCACCAGGTCAGGGTCAGCAGGTGCAGCTAAAATTAAAACCAGCCTTTTTGATGTGCACCACCTTTCTTTCTGCTGGCAAAGTGCCACTCTGAAAAAGCTTAAATCTTTCATGAGTGAAAATTATTTGCTCAGCATTCAGAGATTTCCAGGCTTTCCAGGGAARTAACAATAGTTTTGAAATCCCCAGATGTGGGTTTTTGTCTATTGGTTGGTCTTACCTTCTTTTTTTTTTACCATTTGGGGTCTAAAATGGGAATTGTGGTGTTTGGCTATCACTGGAGACACCTTGGCTAAAGAAATCTTACCACCAATTTCTTTATTCTCTATTAAGAGATGCTCAAAGTCTTCCTCTAGGCTCTTCCCTAAGAACTTGTGTGCAAGAGGATTTGTGAAATGCAGTGGTAGTGGGCAGAAAATGCACAAGGGGCAGATCCTAGCTAAGCTCCTGAGAGGATTGTTTCCCCCAGACCCATCTCTCCAACACTCCCTTCATCCTTATTCCACAAATTTAAATTCCAGCTTCTGTACTTCTGGCAGCTGCCTCCAAGAGCTCTGGAGGCTTCCACCACGCCTCTTTTTGAGTCCAGATGAAGATACTCTCTCCTTGGCTCAGCCTTGACCAGGTCCAGGCTGTACCTGAGTTTAATCCCTCCCTCCTGCCATAGTTCCTGCTGTCTCCTCTCTCCACCTTTGCCACCTCCAGGATTGATCCCAAGCAGAGGCTGATGTGCTGCCATCCTCCCCTGCCCCAAGGGATGAGTGCTCCTGGTAAGGACATATTCTGTCCAGAAACAGTGATGTTTCAAAGGGGGAACAAGCAGGGCCCCTGAACAAGCAGAGTAAGAAAATGCAGCCATGGTTGGGAAGAAGGGCTGCTTCAGGCTCCTGTCTCATTCTGGCTCTGTCTGAAGTGCACACCCAGTGTTCTCTCCATCTTGGCCCTGGCTCTGTTCTGCCCAGYTCCTGGGCAGTTTGTTCTTCATAAAGTGGCTGTTTCTTAAAATTACCAGGTGGCCTTGCTGGAAGGCTGTAGGTGRCATTTGGCAGGGTGGCTTTCCTTTTTGCAGCTCCCTGTATGACGACTGTGGGCCTTGAGCTGCAGATTCCCAAACCTGTTCTGGTTCCTAGGCACCCCAAGGGTGTTCTGCAGCTGCTCTGTTAGAACTTGTCCCCTTCTAAAAAGTCAAGAGCTCCTTGAGATTCARAAAGTGTAAGCTAAGAAAATGAAAGATTAATGCTGTACCTGAAACTCATCTCTTTTAAGATGAGATGTCTTTTAAGGTGTCACCAAGACTTTTGCTCTGTGCAGTTACTGAGAACCAGCTCATCCACACTCACGCTTTGTCTCACAACCTTGGTCCTCCTCTTCCCAAGTTTACTGGAGAGTTAGATGGGTGCTGCAGATAATTTTTTGAAGCTATTGCTCGCATCTCTTGCACTCTCCCTCCTTTCTCCAAAGCAGTGCAGGGAGTCAGATTTGCAGCTTGGTTGAGATTCAGACATTTCTGAGCTGTAAATGAAACACCGYGTGCGATATCCAGGTCATCTCTGGATTTGCTGATTTTGCACTGGGCTCACGCTGYTGTTTGAAAGTGAATTGGCTGCTCTGCCTCATCTCTTCCCGAGTATCATGACTCACACTAGAAAACTCCCATTGGGTTTCCAATGGCTTTATTATGGGGTATGCACAAAGCAACATCTTTTTGATGGACTCAGAGTTTGTGAGATGTGGCCAGATTTTCACAGAGACCACCCACAACATGATAATAAAACTGACTAATTGGGCATTTGGGATGTTTCAGTCCTTCATTCCTTTGCTAGTTTTAAAGTTTCAGTTTGTTGGTTGGGGACTTCCCATAGCCTCCAAGGGYTTCTAGTTTTCTGTAGTGCATGATCAGTTTGGAGATGCTTAATGATGGTTAATGGGCCCTTCATTTCTCACCAAAGGATCTGTAAGAAAGGAATAAAGTTCAAAATCCAGGAGAGGAAATTAATTATTTTCCCAAGAGAAAGAAAAATCCATTTCTCTTTGAGTGAGAATTTTATATCTGAATATAAACTGTGTTTCATTTTCTTTTCCCTGTTGAAATTTCCTTGTTCAGCAGAATGATGAGAGGAACTTTTCAGCAAGGAGTGAGGGAATAATCAGAAAAAAACAGTGTGCAGTTTTTCTGTTGTGATTCCTTGGCAAAATGGACTATAAAAATATTCTAATGTGGGGAAAGAATAGTCCTAGGTCACAGCATTATGGATGTGTTTCTTGGAGCTGAAAATGATGGAATCAAGGCAAGCAGAAAGCTGTCTGTGAGGGGGMCGTGGTGAAAAAGCCGAGCCCTTCTGCAATGTGCCCAGCCCTCCCTGCTCCTCCTGCAGCTCTGCAGGAAGCAAAGTGGTGGGGTTCATGTTTCTCACTGAACTCCACAATGAGAAGGGCTCAGAACTGACAGCGAACAAGAAACCCCCTGAACCCAGYGTAACTGCAGAGGAGAGGGAATGCAAACCAAATCAAATCCGGTTTAATCGCTGTCACATCGGGTTTGYGTGCTGAGCAAAATCCGCTCTGCCCCCTTCTCCCCCTGCTCACGGGGCAAGGACAGAATTCCACGTCCCTGTGCCATCTCTGGGAGCTGAAAGGCACTTGGGGAAGCAGGCGTGGGGAAGGCTCACCCATGGTGCCCGTGCCGTGCCCAGGCATTTTTTCAGGACCGAGAGAAAGACAGATATTGTAAATGAGATAAATTATTAGCCCCTGAAGCTGTTCTTCATCCTGCAGAGCTACAGCCCTACACCCAGTGAGGCCCGTTTTCCACACAGCATGAATCACTTGCTCGGGGTCTGCGCTCGCTCGTTTCACGTTTTAGTTTTCCATTCCTCTGGCTTTCCTCAGGCGGATGAATAATGGATCATTTACAASGATCGGAGCGCACGGGCACGGCCCTTCAGACGGTTCGCAGAGCACCAAATGTGTGCAAACCACATCCCATTTCCACACCGAAAGCGGGAGGGGATGCCAGCCTGGCAGCTTGTCCCCTSTGCCACCCGAAATAGCGCTCAGGAGCTGAGTCACACAGCGGAGCCCGATCGGGTGATTCCTTTAACGCAGGGACAATCCTCTGCTGCGCTAACAATTACAGACGGAAAAGGCTCCAGGCAGCAGTTTATCACCAGACACTCCGAGCCCTTTCATTGCCCTGAGTAAAAGAAAAAGGCAGCCCGAGGGCTGACCCTGTGCTATTTTCCCGTGGCGCTGCAGGGCCTGTGCTGTCACTSTCAGCATCCTTCTCATTCATGGATGCTGCTTAAAGGATAACTCGCTTCTCTTCTTGCATCCAAAAACCTTCAGGCTAACAAATCAGACCTGTGCAGGTGAAGCTTGCAGTTCTGCTTTTCTATTTCCCTATCACACCTTTTCCCTCTGTCAGTATTTGTTGAATATTTGGAAAAGAAACAGTTTCCCGAAACCAGGATTTTGAGTTTGGAAATATGTAGGGCTGGTGCTGCTTAACTGAACCACTCTCTACAATAGGAAGCCATCAGCAGGAGAAGGTRATGAATCATGTGTCTGTTCAGTGAGAAATTGGAAGCCTTCACAGAGCTGCTTGTGAGGTGTCACATGTGTTTGTTCCCTGAGTCA